CATGAAATCAAGGATATTGGCCGACTCCACCAGTTTTAACCTCTATGCTATACTGGTTGGGACACTGCCAGCGGTGGTCATATCCCTGTTCATCGGCTCCTGGACTGACACCTATGGAAAGGCCAAAAAGGTGGTGCTCATTGCCAACGCCGTCACTTCCATTCTCGAGGCCCTCATACTTATACTCAATGATTATTTCATTAACGCATGTATTAATTTTGCTATTGTTATTGCTATCTGAGCTTGGTTATTGTTATAAAATATATAATTTTGATGTTTTTTGTTTAATTTATAGCCCATTATGCAATAATAGCGTCAATGTTACCACATATGTTGACCGGCGGAGTGTTGGCCCAATTCACTGCCATCTGGTCATACATTGCTTCGACAACTCCTCCGCATATGCGGGCCATCCGAATGGCATTCGCAGAGGTAGTGCTCGGAATAGGTATGTAATCAATGTTTTATTGTAATTAATAAACTATAAAACATTGTTAATTAATGTTATTATAAAAATAATTTTGTTATTATTGAATAAGAATTTAAGAATAACTCTGTATTAAACAGCCGTCCCGTTGGGCATATACATGGGTGGTCTGGTACTCAACACAGGGACAGTGTTCACCGGTGCCGACCATTTATACAACTACTCGGGTGTGTTCGCCATAATAGCTGCCACCTATTTATTAGCCCTTTTGTGGACCGTATATATGGTGGACGAGGAGAACGATATCAAACAGTGGATCCATTTGTTCAGCAAAGGGTCAGACACCGAGTCGGGCCCCGATATCCAGCAAACTTTCATCAAAAATAAATTACAGACATTTGAGGCAAACAAAGACAAAAATCCATTGAAATTGTTGTTAAATGTGAATAATGTTAAACAAATGTTTGCCACGTGTGTGAAACGGCGGCCAAACTACGTGCGACTCCAGATATGGCTACTGTTCCTGTCGATGGCCTGTTGTCTGATCGCACACATCGGGCCAATGATATTCTACTATCAGTTCTCGCAGAAAGTGTACGCCTGGGACTCAAAGGTATACAGCAATGCCAACGCTATCGCCAGCATTGCCATCACTTTGGGCACAATGATTATCGCACCAATACTGCTCAAGGTAATTTTATTTTATTTACTTACAAGTTAGTAAGTTTCTAATTATATAATTTATGTTTTATTTTATTTTCTAAGTTTCAATATTATTATACTTTATAATTGTATACTGTTTATAAACTAGTGAGTAGTGTTTTTATAATGTCTTTTAGTGTATACTGTAATTATTTTTTTTTATAAACTTTCACCAAGGTATTCAAACTAAAAGACACGACAATATCGTTGGTAGGATTGGTGTCATATTTTATCAAAAACATTGTAAGGGGTGTTGTGTTGACTTCCGGCGGGTTTTACTACTCGTTAATACCCGGGTGTTTGGGAGGATTGGCTACAGTCGGCATTCGGTCCCACTTTTCAAAGATCATACGTTCGGATGAATTGGGAAAAGTGTTCAGCGCTTTGTCGGCGATCGACGCCTTCGCGCCCCTCATATCTGCCGCCGTCTTCACCGGTATATTCAACGCCACAATGGATTCAATGCCCGGTCTGTCCCTTATTGTGGTGGCGCTGATCCTAATCATACCCTTTGCGGTGATCGTATGGATTCATTATTGGACTGATTTGCCTGATGTTAGACAAAGTACTGATAATAAAGTTGCGGATAATAATTATGGTACTAATGAAAAACACGCCTATTATAATAATAATCCTGATATAATTGAAATGTCTGTCAATGATAATGATAAGAAATTACCAAGTCTTACAAAAGTTTGATGATTCTCTATGTACGATAAGCACTTGGTATTAAATATAGTTACATTATATTTATTAATAATATATTGTATTTAATAGATTTAGTGATTTGTTAGTAAATTATTGTTAAGTGTCTGACATTATACATTTCAATTTATAATAATTATTAATTTAATAAATTATATATAATTTTTACATTTTTGTTTTATTTATGTAACTTATGTTAAATTATTTATGTATTTTTAAATTCTGTTAGTATTTTTACATCACTTTAACGATGTATTAGATTCTAATGTTTGGAGTCTATCATAGATACTAGAATATAATGTTTATAACATTTCCATACTATTCACATTTATACATGTAAAGCATGTATACACTTTATATTACTAATGCATTTTCAATATAATCAGCTGACTCAAAATATAAATTCCGGTTTAATGTACAAATAGCAAAATAATTAGTTAATTTACACAGTATTTATATTTGTATTGTATTTGGGATACTTAGTCCACATTGACGTCAAATA